CATATATGACAGGTGTCCTGCATACTGCTAGGATCAACGCTATCGAAGTCATCGTGAGTAGTGATAAGTTAATAAAGATGGTGAATTTTAAGCTCGATATTAATCAACATGACACGAGCGTTATTGTGAATGTTACTTACATAATACTGCACTATTCCTGCAAGTAGATTGGCAGCACAGTGAATACTATTGTATTTAATGTTCCATACACGAATCAGACACTTAATCACATACAAGGCAGTCTGAAAAAAACAATTTAGGAAAGTATTCAGTGATTCAATAAGTTTGATGAAGACATTATCATTCCTTTGATTGTTATGACAACCTTCCGGTTTAAGTAGAAGGCAAAGTACATGTAAAGTAGTTTATTATGCACTTGAACCACCGACCACTATTCCTGATCATGATATGACGTGCAGTTCACTGTTGACTAAAATATGGCACAAGTACTGTACATTGTGTATTATCTTCACAATGGATGACAACAAGTATACACAAGTCTTAAAAGTAAATCGATCGTGTTGATTGGTATTCAGAACGGCGAGTCACCGGCTGTTTCCACCGGCACATGACAGCGTTTCCTAGTTCAGGTTATGATTATCTTTGATTCATACCTGTGGTTCATTCCAAGGCAGTTTTCGTATTTGTCGTAGAACCTACAAGAAAACATAACCAGGATGAGTCTTAGAAGTCTGACCGCCAAAGAGCTCAATGATCTAATCGCATGATATGTGAACTATTTCTTCGTACAACAGAGCGGGTTTTAGACATTTGAGCAGTCTCCCTTTTGCTCATTTGTAATTTTCCTCACAGATTTTCGAACAAAAGAGAGACTGCTCGAAGTCTAAGCGGCGGTTTTTAATCGCGTATCGCAAGACCAAAACGAACGTCACTCTGGCCAATCACAAAGAAGACAGACAAGCCTGTGAGCCAATCAAAACTCGGAGTAAATATACAGTGTTACAGATACTTCCTTCCTCTACTCAAGTCATAAACCTCGTAAATACAATCTAATACCTACAAAACGCTAGAAATATCACTTTTTCAAAACGGTAACCGGCGTTTCGGCGTGATAGACAGTTCGCCCAATGTCAGTTTGCCCGGACTAAAAGTCTATTAGCCCGGATTGAAAGTTCAAACAAGGATGTGTTAAATTCTTCCTTTTAACTACAGTAAAAGGGAAAAAAAGACAACATTGTGGGCATCACAAAACAAAATTACACAAAACTTAACATGTTTATTTCTGGTTCTTTAATCCATTGATCACGGAGCTAACAGTCCAGGCGATCTGGTATCGGCCAACTGACTTTCGGGCGAAACGACCTGAATTCTTCAAAACAGCTTTCCAGCTGTTGAAGCCCTTTTGTTTAAATTTCACACAAATTTTCTTAAACATGGCAAAAAGCGACGAAGATTTTTGAGTAAGTTATTTTTTTCTTTTTAGTCCTCAGACCTCAGACATCATAATAAATTTAGTTATGTCTACTGAGTTCTGAAGTGAAAACTGTTGAGATTAATATTAATGAGATGTCATATTTGCAAGTGGTTGGAGGCTGACCAGGGGGCTCTAACAAAGCGTGGTCCGGTAAGGAGTTGAACTCTATACAGTAGAGGACAAATCCAGCCGGTACAAAGATGGAGGATTTGAACATTACAAATCCAATACCCTAAACCTAAAGACGTTTAAATTTGAAAACATCATGAAGAAACCAGTATGCTGTAGATGATGCTATACATCGAATTATAATTTAAACATTGCTTAAAACATATACATTGTAACTTAGACGCTATTTTAAACTTCTGCGGCATAACATGTCAAAGATTATATTACAATACGACATTATGGTTTACCTTCTCTGTTGTGGTCTTAGATAGGTCTTTATACAGCAATTTACGAATGTACTCGTGCATAGGAGGGCGCTCCTTCTGGGAAACCTGCACACAAGAATTCAACAGCACATCCACTGAATGTTACTAGCATATTTTTATGCTTTTTAAAATACATGATAGTAAGACTAATTGAGTAGGTCTCTAGGTATTATTGTTCAGTTTTCTCCTATCATGCAATATGTGCGCATACAGTCTGTATACTGTTACATCGAACGTTAAGGCTGAAGTGAAATTACATGTTGATTACCACTTGAGAATTGAAGGTTTCATACAAGATGTTGTATGTTACAGGTGTACTTCAGTACATTTAGAACTGAGGTACTAGGCACGGTAGCTTGAAGTACAAGATGTTACAAATACCTTCTGTTTCTCTGGTGGATTACAGTAGAAGAATGCATTCTCAATTAGAGTCAATTGCCGACTGTCTAAATTCTGAACAGCTTTCTTTCGCATCATGAGTTCCTGTAAGATAAAAGGAGAGGATGTGAAAACAGGTCCCTAATTGACATTTAAGTGTACTGTATCATTATTTTGCATGTTGTGTTCTATTTTAATGAACCCAAAGAGCGAGTTGAGGTGCAAGTTAAAATGTACAGTGCAGTCATATGACACACAAATGTAAGAAAAGAGATTTACATGTATTGCCCAGGCATTACCTTGACCAATGTAATTGCACAGGCACTTACAGTCCTGGCAAAATCACTAACTTAATAAAAAGAGGTAAAAACCCACACATTATTGGGCATTATTAATTTTGTACGTAACGGAATGAAACTGAATCATATAGGGTTAATTCGTGAAAGTACTACATGTATATATGAATGCCTATGGATTTCAAAGCCCCTTACAAATTGTCTCACTACATACACTACTTACTATCGCTCACAAAATATGTGCAAACGTTCCAAACAATAATTAGTCGAGTAGGTAAACTACTAACAAATGCCTCACTAAACTTTTAAATGCTTACAGTTTACCTTGTGGTGACACATGAATTGTTCAGTGTATAGCAAAACAAGACTATTCTCGATGAGCTTATTAACGATACCAAGAACATGGAAATCAGATGTGAAGGAATGGTTGCAGTAATGTTTATGCTGAAACTCTGACAATCTGCAGGTACATGTATGAGTGCACAATTCTGCGACTGAGAAAACATACATGTACACTGTTCAAGCATAATTCAGTTCAATCGATGGTCAGATTTTTTTATAATTGTGGGAAGCCAAACAGCATTAACATATAAATTATGCTGCAACCACTCAGATTGTAGATCACACCACACGGATAATTACCACTGGGGTTACGGTTTATTTGCTTCACATCTAATTGATTTTCCCCAAACACGTAACGTCCCTCAAATAATTATTTTGTTCATGCCATACTGATTTGCACTGTAAATATGTGCTTTTTAGGAAGACTTACCAACAAGTTCTTTGTTCTGATGTGCGAGTCTTCTGAGCGGTACAGAAATCTGCCACACACTTCCAATAAACTACAGGCCATCTCAATGTTGTGGTGGGTGAAATCTTCTAGAAGCATCTAAAATAAAAAACATAACCAATCTAAATAATTATACAGAGCTGATTTTATGAGCAGTCATTTTGACTTTTACATTATTCCAAAGTCAAACGTTTTTGAACTACGAGTTCTTGTAAATTTCATTTCAAATGTCTGGTAAGTAAAATAAATTCTTTATTGATGTACAAATCACTTGATAATTCATAAAAAAAAACATCAAAGCACCTTATGCGCAAACTATGATGCTGACCCCTTGCACTAAACTAATCTTCGATGCCAATACTGAATATAAAACCTACGGCTTACTCGGAGAAATTGCACACCGAAAAAATCTACCAATAACAAGACAGGTCTCAGACAAAGAGTCAAGTGACGTAAATGTAAGATTTTCCCAAATAGAGCAATCAACTTGTACAAGTATAATGTATGCAGTTCATAAATTAAGTGTCATTGTCAGAGAAAACCGGGCAGGGCCAAAAGATTGAAGTCGGCCATTAACCTTCAACTTTTCACAGTATAAAAGCTATCTGAAAAGATTACCAGCCATGACATTACTTTGCCGAGGTAGGTATTCGTGTTTCTTTGAAACGTTGGCCTCTCAAACAGTCTAAACTGGCCGAAATTTTTGGCAACTTTGGGCGACCCTACAAGACACGTACATTGTACAACTTCCAGAAACTCTATAGCCACGTTACTAAGGAAACATTCTCACACAATTAAAAATGTCACTGAAAATAGTTGAAACCCATTTCATTCATTCATTCTTTCTTTGTTTCAAGATAAAGAGAAAAACATGCCTCAGAGCATTCCTCTGATCAATAAGTGGAATGAATATTCTGAAGCTGGATGATAAGGAGATCTTCTACTCACCTTCAAACAGTGTAGCGCTTCACCTTTTGGAAACATGTTGAACTTTGTCAATTCACCTGCCACACAACGACAAAAGAAATCAGTTGATGAATGATGCTGCTGTACATGCACTTACACTACTAGCATCTGCTTCAAGGAGAGAAATGTCAAATGTTCTGGACCAATCTGTCATAAGATTAAGGAACAAAATCAGAAGCACTCAATTTTTAGATGGGCCCCATAACAACAGAAAATGACTTTTGTATGTGTGGCATTTAAAAAAAGTTTTTTATAACTGACATTTTTTCCCGTTCAGTACTGGAATATTCGTTACTTACACTAAAATGTACTCTTATTGGTATATTGAAGATTTTTCCGTAGAAATTCGCTGACAGTTTTTGCAGACCATGGCTCGTTGAAGTGAGCTCACACATCACAAATTTCTCACCTATAAATCTTACTGTCTTTATCTTTGATTCAAGATTAATCTGATCCTTCTTGCGCACCTAAAAACACAAAGTCAAGCAAAACTTTATTTTTTTGTATGTATAACTATATTGACCTACTGAAATGTCAAGCTATCACATTACACAACGCGCGCCTGGTACATGTGCAGCCAGGGCTCGATAATTCTGATGATATTTTTACCTAATTGTACATTTTTGGTATGTTTCAGCGGCATATCAGGTCAAGTCTGGTCAAGCCATGGTTTGTATGTTGAGACCAGATGAGCCTGATGTGCTGCTAAAGCGAACCAAAAGAGGTTACATTAGATATTTACCGTACCTGAATACGGCCAAATAAGTGATCATGATATTGCAACCATATCAGGTCAGTGACTTGATATTGAAGGATATCAGCACAGTAGACACAGCTTCTGATTGGCGAATTTAGGTACGGACATACATACAAGTGCACAAGGAATACACAATGATACACTTGTAAGTTAAAAGGAATAAATCATTGAGAGATATATATATTATATACATGTAAGTGTTGAGTAAGCTTACACGGAATCTGAATTCTCCTTTCAGCTGCTGCATGAGCTCAGGAGAAAGATCAGGAGCACAAGGATCAAGAGTGGCCACCAGACGAGCATACATAGGCAATAAATCCAACCTGCAACAAATACATACTAGATATTATTTATTTAGAACAATTTTCAACACATTCAAGACTGCTTCAGTTGTAATGATTAAGGGAGCAACATGACTTCTCCGTGCCAGCTGTCTCTGGAACACTACACAATTAAGCAAGAGTATTGCTACATTACGATAGCTATGGAAAAACCTTACAAAAATGACAAAGAAAATTATTTAACAAGTTAAGCAACACAAAATGCACATTATGTTTCACGGAGCATTCATGGCAGTGTGAGGACTACTGAGACATACAGTGTACTGTAGGTTTGCGTTATCATGCAGAGGCTGAGCTAAATACAGACTACTATTGAAACCACATGCATTCAGTATCATTACTGCTTATGGTGTTCTATTGTTACTAGCACTGATTTCAAAGTTATCGGCACCATAACTTTTCTTAGAGGCTATTTTTAAATATATATCAGTACAAGTATCAGAATAACTTACAGTGGCTGAAACTCTTGCCTATTTTTCTCGCCTATCACGCTGCTACATGTAGGTCAGTTACTTATTACATTTCTAAACAAATGGCCACATTTAATGGCTTGGTGGCACAGTTACATGTATTAACTAAAAAGTATGAGGTTCAAAAGTAGACAGAATTGTTTAAGCTGGCTCCAGACACTTCATGAGAGACCTGCTACCAACAGCTCTTTAAAAAGTGGTTGATATAACTATTTTAAACTTGTGTTTGCCATTTTCAACGAAGAAGTCATTTGAATTACCTTATTCTTGGAACACCAAATAGAGCTCGGCAGAGTTTCTTTCTGTTTCCCTTAGTGTTGCATGTCTGCATAAATTCTGTTGCAACCTACGAGAATTGATGTTCAAAGTATATAACACTTCTGCATCAAGTTGTTTGGGATTTAATTGAGAAAATAATGGTTCAAATACACCGGTATATGTATAGTAAGATGGTCACTTGACGTTGTTGTCTTATCAGTGACAGCTAAATGGAACGCATCAAAATGTATAACACACTTGCAAAGACATTGTTCTGTTAAGAATAGATCTGCACTACTGTACATGTAAATAGCATTATAAGAGAAATATAAGGGGACTGCAGTACCTCATCGATGAACTCCTTGTTGACACATGTAGGCAGTCTTACTAAGATCGCCTCAAGAGCTAGTCCAGTGGATGAGCTGGATGTTTCACCAGAGGAACTTTCGTCATCTTCTGAAATCGAGAACACAAGCTGTTTTACAAATTCCATAATTAAAATGAGTGATCCACATCTAACTTCTCTCTGAATACCAATACACCAGTTCACTAGCAAGCAGACTGAATAAATTGCCATTAATAAAGGAACTCATCAAGGTTTAACACATTTCACATTGCCTGGATCTACTCAGAAATATATAGAGAGAGGGAAATTAAGTCATGTAATGACAACAAGAAAGGATAATTAAAAGCTGTAACTTATTGTGACCACCAATACTAATACCAGAAAGATTGCCTGAAATTCAAGAAGGTGGAATTTCAACATTTAATTTGTAAGTGGACTCTTAAAGTGCTTGCTGACATGCTACACTGTAGCTGCATGTACTCTGTAGATGACATCCTAAAGAAGCCTGTGGTTAAACTGTATTGTCAAACAACAAAAGATAAGAAATCACAGACCAAGAAATGGTTGTTCAAAAACCCTCTACTGACAGCAGATATCAGCTTATTAAAAATTTCATGTCAGTTATATTTACTATAATAGTTACTGTTTTGCCCCTTTCAGTTCTGCAGTCTTGCACACTTCTTATGTACTACAAAAATAACACAGCTGTAAGTTATAAAACATAATTTTACCTTCTTCGCTTTCCTTTTCATTTAATTCTTCATCAATGATGTCATCTTCCACCTCTTCAAACTCTTCCTCTGCTACTGAGATGAGAGGAAAATTGAAACAATCCCAGATGTCAAGTGACTGACTGACTGTTCTTGGTGAATAACAACACCTCTCTGGGAAAACTATGAAAGCTGATCTCAAATACATTTTAACACCTTGTGTACATTCTATTGCAAATGCATGAATCTGATTTGTTCTTGAACAGATGCCCACAGTGCCTTTAGAGGAGCAACAAGGTTTTGAACTGCTATTCTCTATAGCAGCTACTAACACTGGCACGCCTAATAAAACTACTCACCCTTGTTTTCTACAAGTAACAGGTAACTCAGCTATACCTTGTTGACCGCTATTCACTCATAGGAAACTTGGGCTTGCAGTCCAAAAAATAAAATATAATTATACAATTACATAGCCCCCTGCTACATTATAATTAAGCGCATCACTAAGGCAGCAAAAGACAAACTTTAAAAACCAACTATAATCCCTGCCAGACAAAAGCCTACATGTATTCTGTCAGTGACGTAGATAAAAGCACAAGTAATGGACATGAATTACAGAAACTCTACAAAGTTGTTGGTTGTCATCAGTGCCATAAGTACATTTCAACAGATTGAGTTGTTCAAATAAATTGACTGGATTCATTACAACTGAAACTAGATATTTTTGAGTCACCTCTTGTAATACTCACTCCCTACCAGAACTTCATAATGATTTTAAACCCTCTTGATACATGGTATATATATGTAGTTTGCAGTCACAATGATTTGTAGCTGCAGTTTCTACAACTGTGTATCGGAGCAGAATTAGGAAATGTTGCTTACTTTCCATGTCATGGATGTCCAATTTTTCATCCTCAGCAGAATTAGTAGTGTCATCATCCTCCTCCTTTCCTTCATCTTTGTACAAGATCTTAAAAGCAGAACCAAAAATTGCTGTACATGTACATCAGGCACCTACTGGCTGTTCAAAAAGGCTGGATAACACTATCCACTGTGTAAATTGCATCTAGCAGATAAGTGTTACCAAAACAAACCGTGCTATCCACTGGATAGTGATTCATCTGGTGGATATCCTAAATGGGACCACTCTATAAGATGTCTGTGTTATAGAGTGTGGCTGTTTTGAAAATTAAAGCATGCCAACTTTCTTTTTTTTTTTTTTTTTTTCAAGAAAAAAAACATTTCCTTTGACCAGTTGACCAGTTGATGTTTGAGAGAGCGAACTGTACAGGTAAACAAATACCAAATGCTGGAACTTTTACTTGTCATAGTCAGAGTTGTAGTCGCAGTCATAAGAGTGCTTCTGACCTTGTGAAAATCGAAAATTAGAGTCATAAGCTCAACGTAGTTGGAGTTGGAAGAATCAGAACATTTCCATTTCATTCAATTCCATTTACAACTCTGTCGCTTATGATCCAATGAAAACTAGATTGCCAGAATTGGAAGCAGAAGTGGACGAACCAACCAATCACATTGAAAAAATTGTGATTGGTTTATTATTCTGCTTCTGCTTCCGACTCCGACAACCTAGTTTTCATTAGATCGTAATCAACAGAGTCATGAGCAGAATGGGTGTTTTGCATCCGACTCTGTCAGTTTGATTTTCACTAGATCGTATACAGTGTAGCTCTATAATTCTGATTATGACTCTGACTACAACTCCATCGTTAGTGAAAACCAGCCTTGATTGGTGCATTTAAATGTCAGTCAGTAACTTAACATTACCCCTGGTAGAAAAGACTTTAGATCTCTGAGATTTTCATAAAAGATCCTTGTTTCTTCATCTTCCCACAGACCAGAACTTCCATCATACTGTTTGAAGAGAAAACCATTGAACATTCCATTACATGTATAATTATTACACCTCATTAACATTAATCTTATAGTCAGAACTTTTTAAGTTTGGTTACTGACCACATGGTTGATCTTGCTCTCTATGACTATACATGTACATGAAACATTAATAATTAAAAGTATAATTATGAAACTACTCAAACTACATGTACTCTTAGATGAGATGTAAAAGCAAGTCAAGGTGGTCACAAGATGGTGTTGCCAAAGTACTGTTAAATGTACTTATTATATGGCAGTGTCTCACAAGGACAGGAAACTAATGAATTCATGAATTTGATTGGCTGAAATCGATTTTGACCACCATCTAGATTTTCCCATCTAGACCGGCATCTAGGCCGGTTACATTTTGCCAAAAAGCCTGATCGGAAAAAAAGCAAAGAGGACGAGCAAACTTTGAAGATTTAAGTTTAGCTCATTGCCGTTTGCAAGCAAAATGTCAGCTAGTACAAACCAGTTACATTAAAAGAATTAAATTTTTCTTGTTTGCCATAATTAATAATAAAAATCTTATTAACTGAGCTTAGTTGGTCTGTATGGGAGAATCTTGACATCAGTTGTGTGTACAGACCTCAATGTGTTCGGTCTGTACTCATGACCTCAGGCAAGATTTTCCCATACAGACCATCTAAGCTTAGTTTTAGCCCTTAAGTTTTAGCCCTTACCTCTGAATGTCTAAATGGGTTAAAAACATCAATTGTGCTGCCTCCAGCCTCTTGCTGTACAAACTCTGCAGTCAGATACATACATGTATTAAGTTAACAGTAAATAGATCAACATATAATTTTCTCTTTACATGTAAATATTAACTGGTATACATGTACATTTTTAAATATTGGATGTACTACACTATATGTGCGCTCTCATTGGTTGATAGGTGTGTTTAGCTGAGAGTACAGTATGCAGACATGGTTGCGATGCTTTAGATTTGTACATATTCTTAAGAAACATTTTAAAAAAGCAATGTACTCTGTTCTGCGGCATTTTGTAATAACTACGCATTTTGTAATACCTTACGCATTTTGTAATAAAAGTTGCAGCATTTTGTAATTACCTGCAGTATTTTGTATTAAATGCAAATGACGCATTTTGTAATAAGTGTTGCAGCATTTTGTAATGAACGTTAGTCTACGCAATTTGTAATAACATGGTGACGCAAATTGTAATAAGTCTCTTCACACGATAATTTCACCAAGCATACAGATTGGCTGGATTCCCTTCAACACTGGCTTAATATAGTTTGTCAA